GTGGCAAGGGAGGTCCGAGGGGCGCGAGCGCGATATCCCCTCGCGTCTTAATAACGAGACCGAGGGAGTGACACTAAGGGGCGGAATTTTTATGTCTTCGGAATTAGCTGAACTCGACGATTAAGAAAAAATACAGCGAGACTCGAGGAAGTTTCACGGGGAGTTTCGTACTACTCCGGTGGATTATTCAGTGTACTCCGGCCTGGGAGATCGATAAACACCCACCACGTGACGTCACGCCCCCCCGATACCGAGTCCTGAAGCATGGCATATGGACAATGATGTTTTTGTATGGGTGTTCTGTGAGGCATAACAATAAACGTCTTTTCAGGGAGGACAATGCTGTCTCTTTCGGTTTTTTACTCTTATTTTTTAGAATGTAAATTTATCATTTTCACTGCTTCATATGTTTTTATTTTATTTTCATGTTTTTTAATTTTTAAGTTTAATCATTTGCGGGATTAATTCAATTCGTCAAATGATTAAACTTGGTCTTGGGGATTTTATGAGGAAGTTCTTCGGGGAATTGCGGGGGAAATTGCGAAGGATCGGGGGTTTGAGAGCAGCGAGACGGTTGCTATGAGCCTCATTAGGAGGATGCAGCGAGGAATGTATAGGTGCAGAGTGGAGGTCATTGACTTACCTGTTTCTACTTGCGAAAAGTGTTGATTCCACTGTTGCTCACGTCCTCTGGCCTCGGGACGCACCGGGAAACTGGTGAGATTTTTCACCCCTTGTGAGTCGACGGGAATGGGTTTTCGGGGGTGCAGGACGGCTTGATTGGAATATTGAACGAGGAAAAAGGAGTGGAACGGTGGAGGCTTCAACTCCGAGTCACACGAAGCCGATGGGAATCTCGTCGCCTCAGCTTTCCAACCCTCGTTCACTCCCTCGTATCCAACCCCTCGTGTGACCCGGGCACGCATGCGCCTCGGGCGGGAGGGACGATGAATAGCCGCAAAAGTACAATGTGAATTGTTTATAAATAAATTGGGGAAAGGAGGCTTCGTGGAGGCGAGAGCGGGGTCGGGGGAGGGATGCCAGATTTGGTTGCGATTTTGAGATGTTGAAGACATTGTGTCGTGGTAGAAATGAAGATGGGAGGGATGTTATGGAATCGGGTTTATTTGAATTGGATAAACTTGAGGCGAAGGAAATGGGGCGAACCGAAGAGCTTGTGACGAGAGTTATTCGAGGTTGAGGATATCCAAGGACTTTGGCTATTTCTTCTCCAGTGAAATGCGTTTCTACTTTGTCGTGGAGTATTAGAACTTTCAGTTGAGACCCATTTGAGCCCAAGTTTCCGGACGTTTTAGTATGATTTTATTATTTAAACTTTGCAGGTCTGAATTTGAATCTCGATGTTGAACCGTTAGTAAACATTGTAAAGATCGGAAAAAAATTTGAAAGTTTATATTTGGCGAAAGATTGATGAAATAATTAAAAAATCACAATTCTTGGTAATTACGAACATTTTCATTACATATAATTATATATAATTTATAAACAATCAATTTTTCACCATAAAAAATCCAAGGACTTTGGCAATTTTTTTCTCCGTTGAAATGCTTTTCTGTTTTTGTAGTCGAACACCAGAGCTTTCAGTTCAGCCCCGTTTGAGCCCAAGTTTTCGGACGTTTTAGTATGATTTTATTATTTAAACTTTGCAGGCCTGAATTTGAATCTCAATGTTAAACCGTTAGTAAACATTGTAAAAATCGGAAAAAAATTGAAAGTTTACATTTGGAAAAGGATTGATAAAGTAATTAAAAAATAGCAATTTTTGAAAATTACGAACATTTTCTATAAATAATTTATAAACAATCAGTGTCTGGAATCGCAACAAATTTATTCATATTCAGAATTTTACCAGAAATCGATTTCATGCCTGAAGACAATGTTTCCGAAAGTTCAAACAATGTTAATTGTTCATTTATAAACAACGTATGTTTAAAAAAATGATAAGTCCGTGCAAAACGTAATTTTACTGACGCTGAATATTCATGATTTTTTGCAAAATTTTGTCATGCAATTTAATTAATTGGCTTAAGATATCATAGTGATTCAATTGAAATTTCACAATATGTAATTAAATAATTACATTTCTCATTTTTCTCCCGAATCTCAAAGTGTTTCCTTTTACATCCAGCAAATATTTTAAAAAATTTGAAGCCCACAAAATCAAAAAAAAAATTATCTATTTATTTTTCCTTTAATAATAATTGCAATCATAAGTGCATTTATTAAACAAAATCCAGTATTACATCAAATTGAAATGCCAAGTACAAAACGTCCTTGAGAGTCTCTAAAGAACCTAAAAAAACAATATAATTCACAAAAGTCTTTTACTCCTAGTTTTTAAGATTTACGTTTGTCTATGGATCGTAAACATAATATTCCATAAAAAAAATTTGATTTTCGTGTTGTATTAACGTCAATAATGCATTCAAAATTGAGCGCCTAAAAAAACTGACCCTTCCCCAACCGCCCGCGCCCTCCACCAATGATTCTCCGCCTCCCAAGGCCAGTCCTCTGCGCACGCAGAAGCAGTCAGAATCATAACAGGCATCGAGGAGAACAATCGAGAACCACGAAAACATCAGAAAGCAGCAGATTGCGTCATGTGAGTGCAAATTAATCCCAGATAACTCCTAACGGTCCCAAAAATGTCATCTTCGTTCCATTAACCCCCTCACCTCCTTTAATTCCGGTTAATCATAAAAAATTACCGTACGCTAGTGTCTATTCGATCATTCGGCCCTCGAACCTGCGCATAACCTATAACTACGTTGCATTTTTCCAGAGTAACGTTGGAGTAAAAATTCGCGATGTTGCTCGCACGAGTTTGTAAAGCAACAATTTCACCCCGGGTGAGCTCTCTCTTGAAGGCACATGGAAGTAGAGTCCAGGTAGCCAGACTCTTTGGTAATGAGGGACGCAGCACATTCTCGAGGACAGCACGTAACAGGACTTCTGTGGTTGAGGAGGCTGTCAAACCAGCTGGTGAAACAGGTAAAAATTCAAATCAACTAACAAATCAAAATTCAAATCAACTACCTCATGCTCCTCAATTTTTGTCAGCTCCCTGAATTTTTTAATGCATCATGCGTCACTCTTTTGGGAACTGTAGAAACGTTTTTCATTGCTGATGAAAATGGAGGATTTTTGCTCGATGGTGATAATTTTCTGATGTTCTTGAATTTTTTTTCCTGCAGCATTCAACATTGGAAAGGGATTTGTTGCTGGTAGTGCAGTTTTGGGACTTGGAGCATTGTGTTATTATGGAGCAGGACTGTCACCCACCACTGGAGCCATTGACCATGCAGCGTAAGTGTCTAAGATTTTTATGTTAACAATAGACAGATTGAGGACTTTTTTGTGAGAGACTCACTGGAATAAAATCAATGGAAACTGTCAATTTTAGCTCTATTATTCTATGAATGTTGATAGAAATGAGGAAAATTCAGGTAAACATATGCCTGGAATCTCAATTGGAAATTCAGTATAATTTAATTTTAAATATTCATGTTTTCCAATATATCTTCATTGAAATTTCACATTCCCTGAGGTTTGCCCCCCTAAATCGATCTCAACATTTCGACATTTCCTTTCAAAGACATTCTTCACAATTGAGTTTTCAATTTGACAACTTGTTTTCTTGTCTTCCTGCTGCTAAAAAAAATTGGAACTCCAATAAATCTTCATTGAAATGTCAAATTCCCTGAGCCGCTTGAATTATCTTCTCATTTTTCCCAAATTCAAATCAATTTATGATCCTTTACAACAGAATATGGCCCCAGTACGTCAAAGATCGTATCCACACAACCTACAATTTTAGCTCTATTATTCTATGAATGTTGATAGAAATGAGGAAAATTCAGGTAAACATATGCCTGGAATCTCAATTGGAAATTCAGTATAATTTAATTTTAAATATTCATGTTTTCCAATATATCTTCATTGAAATTTCACATTCCCTGAGGTTTGCCCCCCTAAATCGATCTCAACATTTCGACATTTCCTTTCAAAGACATTCTTCACAATTGAGTTTTCAATTTGACAACTTGTTTTCTTGTCTTCCTGCTGCTAAAAAAATTGGAACTCCAATAAATCTTCATTGAAATGTCAAATTCCGTGAGCCGCTTGAATTATCTTCTCATTTTTCCCAAATTCAAATCAATTTATGATCCTTTACAACAGAATATGGCCCCAGTACGTCAAAGATCGTATCCACACAACCTACATGTACTTCGGAGGTTCAGTATTAGCAAGTGGAGCAGCAGCAGCAGCTTGTTTGAGATCGCCCACGATCATGCGAATGGTCTCCCAGGGTGGGTGGATAGCCATGGGGGTCAGTCTTGCTGCAATGATCGGAACCAGCATCCTGACCACCAGTATTCCCTACCAAGAGGGCTTTGGGGCCAAGCAGATGGCCTGGCTGATGCACTGTGGGGTCATTGGTGCTGTTCTAGCACCACTATCACTTCTTGGTGGAGCTCTTGTCATCAGGGCAGCTGTCTACACTGCTGGAGTCGTCGGGGGGCTGTCTGCTGTCGCTGTCTGTGCCCCCAGTGACAAGTTCCTGAACATGGCTGGCCCTCTGGGGATTGGACTTGGGGTTGTCTTCGTCAGCTCACTGGGGAGCATGTTCCTACCACCTACCACCGCCCTTGGATCTGGATTGTATGCTATCTCTCTGTATGGAGGACTCGTTTTGTTCTCCATGTATCTACTTTACGATACCCAGAAACTCATCAAGCAAGCTGAGACACATCCTGCTTATGACAGACAGTATGATTATGCTGGGAATATCGTGAGGAGCTATGATCCAGTTAATAAGTAAGTTAACTAATCACATTTTGGGAATTTAGAAAACATTTTCCAGACATGAACTCGTAAATTTTAATTTCAATTCTTCAATTTTCATTCCTTTATGTATTTTTTTCTGTTGATTTTAAAGGTGAATGTCAAAAGTTATTTTTTGTGGCTGAGGGAATTTACTACAAAAAATTATTATCGACATTTTCGCCTAAAATCACGCATTATGGAGATAATTGATGTTTTATCGAGTTGTTAAAAATTATTGAAAATGTTAGAAGGAATTTTCAGTAGCTGAAAAAATTTTATACAAAAAAAGTTCAATATTTTCCTTTAAAATGAGATCATTACTACATTTTCAATTCGACTGATTGTTGTTCTTCTTTGTTCTCTAGTGCTATGCACATCTACATGGACACCGTCAACATCTTCGTTAGGATTCTATCAATCTTGGCAGGTGGTGGTAACAGGCGAAAGTAAGCCCCCCTTCTTCCACACCCCCAGCATTCTCATGTGATACGTCCCCCTCTGAACTAGCGTATTAAAATCTATGAAACTGTAGAGCATCTAAGAAACAATAAAACCATTTATCTTAAATTATTAAATGCACTTTATTGTCGCTTATTCAATCCAATCTGACGACAAACATGAGCTGCGAATATTGTACAAGGTCATCAAACCATTTCAGCGTTTTTCATCTTATTTTGATCAAAAAATCATAACAGTCAAATGGGAAAAAGAAGGAAATTGGAATGAACTCTTAATTTAAGGGGAGACTACACTGAAATTTAAAAATCGCAGGAGCCTTTTTTTATCGTGCTGATGAGTTTACTAATTCAGTTTTAAGGATAGCTAAGTACTGCGGCTATTTTTTCTCCATTTTAATAATTGTTAATAATAATAATAATAATAATAATACTACTACTTATAATAATAACAATAATAATAATTTTTTTATAATTTAAAAATTCCCATTTTCGAAAATTACAAGCATTTTCTATAAATCATTTATAAACAATCAATTTCCCACCATAAGAATCATGTGTTGAGAAACGTAACAAATTTATTCATATTCAGAATTTTACCAGGAATCAATTTCATGCCTAAAGAATAAAGTTTCCAAAAGTTTAAACAACTTTAATAAATTATTTATTTATAAACAACGAATGTTTAAAAAAAAAATTCTGCGCAAAATGTTATTTGAATGACGCTGAATATTCATTATTTTTATAAAAATTTTCAAACGCAATTTAATTAACGAATTTGGTTTGTACCAAACTGTAAACGATACTTGGATATCCTTAATATAAAAAATCAGAAAAAATAGGAGTTTGATTTTGTTCATTGATGGAATCTTCAAAAGTGTCCTCATGACGCAATTCTCGGGTGATTGACCTGAGTTTTGGTTTATACTTACAGAATATATGCCTAAATACAACTAAATGAGGATTTTAGAAAATTTTTTGGGGTTTTGGAATTTTTTCTTCAATGATTTATCATGTAGTTGAATATTACTAATTTTTAAGATTTATCACTTGCGCCAATTTTGAGAAAAAAAATACCAAAAACCCCAAAAACATAAATTTCCAGAAAATCTCATTTAGTTAAATTTGCGTCCATATTATGTACGTGTGAACCAAAATGTGAGTTATAGACACTTCAAGATTTTACTTCTCCACAGCCTCTTTCTGATCGATAAAAAAATCAAAACAAATTTTTTCTTTTCCTTTCAAATTAAAACTACGATTTAAAAATTTGAGTGCTATCTCCCCTTGATCGTTATCACTTAATTCGTTAATTAGTCAATTAAGTACTCGAGTTATGGAGCACTCTGGGCAAACTGCCCCTAGACACTGACGTAGTCTGGTCGTCCAGGGGCTGAGTACCTCCTCAGGTATCCAGCGAACAGCTGCCTCGCTTGATTGAGCACTCGAACGACATTGTGACGCCGCACCATCTTGTCGAAGTGCATCGCCATTTCGTTGTAGTCCATTTGGTTTCTCATAATGTAATCCCGATGTTGGAGGAGTAGAGTGATGCACAGAAACATGAGGAATGGATTTCCACCGCCGAATTCCGAGGGGGGCGGGAGGGCTGAGGCATCCCCAGGGACGAAATGATCGTCATTTGTGCCAGCTGGAATTAATGCTGTCAATTCTTTGGCTTCCTCACATTGCTCCTGAATCACTTGGCCCGAGGGGTTGACAGCTGAGAACTCAGTTGTACTCTGGCGCCAACTGTCGCCCTCGCTGTCGGAAGCTGAGATAGATCTGGAAGGGGATTCAGTGATTAATTCATTTGATTGATGATTTCGGCTTAAGAATATGCAAGTGGATAATTTTAAGGATATTTTTCGTAGATTATCAAATTCTCTAAAAATCGTCATGCGATTTTTTTTTCAACTCATAAGTTTCAGAGATATTTCCAGAAGAAACTAGACTAAATTTTTCCACTTGTTTCAGCTCTAGAAATTTCTTGGGAATTTGATAATTCAAGTCATAATTTACGCATATCTGAGTATTTTGGGTATTTTTTAATTTGAATACTGCAGAATATTCATGATTTTGTTCAAAATTTTCTCAAGAAATTTAATTGACAAATTTGATGATTGAAAATGGTTTAATCTATAGTGCGGTCTGCACCAAACTGTAAAAGATAGCAAGATTAAGGATATCCTTAATATCCTTAATTTAAAAAATGATGGAACTGTGAATTCTAGTGCAATCATTCCATGAAAATTGATAAACATAAAAAAAATCGATAATAATTATATTCTTAATTATTCTTAATAAAGAATATAATTATATTCTTAAATAATTAGTAATTATATTCTTTATTAAGAATAATATAATATAATTACTAATTATTTAAGAATATAATTATATTCTTAATTATTCAAATTATTCACAATTTGATGCTGAATATTCATCGAATTCATTCAATTTTCATTGAAATGTAAAATTCCACGAGTTGTCCCCTAAATCGAACTCAACATCCCTCTCCCGCAAATTACACCCAACTGTCCCTGAAATTTCTTTTTCCAACAGTATACTCCAAAATTCCTCATAAAATCCAAAATTCTCTGCAAGAAAAAACCCTCGCCATCGTCCAAACCTCTTCCCCCAACTTATCCTTCCGTATTAAATCTCCAGCATCGATTACTGAATAATTATCAACTCCACCATCCCCCCCTAAATCCCAAAAAATCCCGCATTACCAACTCACCTGGCAGTGCGTTTAAGTAACCTAATAGGCGTCACCGACTTCACGCCATTCTGATCCGCAAAGATCTCCCCATCAAACTCCAACTCCGTGGCCTCATCAGGAGTCGTGGCACTCCCCAGGATCTTCTTCTCCCCGAGCAAATGGAGCGGATTTTCCCATATAAAAACATCAGCTGCCGGGCTCCCCCCGACCTCCGCCTCCCCGCCCTCCCCCTTCATCCCCCCCTGATTCCCAGAAGACGAGGGTCCAAACACCTGTCGATCGAGCGACTCCAACTCGAGCCTCCGTTCCCTCGTCATGGACGTGGTCATAGGAAAGAAATCCTGATCAGTGGCATCATCCGGCGATCCATTATCATCCCTGATAACCCTGACCACCCCACTCTCACTAGCTGCCCTCCTCAACTCCCTCTCCTCCCCCGCAGGCGTCACCTTGCTCCTATTCAAACTCGTAAAATTCAGGAACTCATTGAGATTCTTCACCACCCTCGCGCACTTCTTCTCGTGCTTCTCCCCCGCCTCCTCCCCATTAGTCCTGGCCTCCCTCCCCCTCTCCTCCTCCGAGTTCCTCTGATTCCTCACCAAAGTGCTGTTCTCCTTCCCACAATTATTGAAACCCCCATGTCCACTCCCCTGCGCAATGGAAGCAGAAGAGCTCTGTCTCCTGATGGCACAGACTTTCGTGTAAGCATTCTCCCTCAGATGCTTGATGTGGGGGGAAACCGGTGGTGACGGTGGTGGGAAGACCACCTCAGCAAGACTGAGTTCGCCCTTGGGTGGAGCAGCAGGCAGAGCTGCCCAGAGGACCTCCAGCATGCCCAGGGCGTCCTCCAGGGCGAACTCCCTCTTCATCTCCAGCAGGAGCCAGCGATAGCAGAACAGCAGATCGTCAGCCTGATGGCTCTTCAGGTAAGCGTAGAAGTCGGGATCGAAGTGCTGGAGGCCCTCCGCCAGATGCGTGAACTTGGTGGTCATGGCTATGCCGTCCAGCATGAAGTTGTCCTTGAGTCGTCGCATGAGGGCGCACAGGCAGATGTAGGCCTGCCCCTCGTCCCTCATGGTGATCAGTAGGGGGGATGCCAGGTCGCTCATCCCCTGGCAGTAGGAGACACTCGGGTGGTTCAGGGCGTACGTCGTCAGGATGTTGAAGAGGCTCGCTGTGTTCTGGTTGTCGTCAGAGCCACCGTAGAACTTGTGGTGTCTGTCTGTTCTCAGGACGTCCTTTCTCACCATGCTCGTGACGTAACTCAAGTCACCGATGTTCTGGCCCTTCTGGACGAGACATCTCCACTTCTCCCTGAGGCTCAGGTACTCCTGCGACTTTCGCTTCATGTAGTCCATTCTCTGGCGACCTGACATGCCCTCGGGGTAGACGTTCAGGATGTGCTTCCAGACGACCTTGCGGAGGCTCGGCTCGATGCCACCGAAGTAGATCACCGCTCGCAGGTCTTTTGAGCTCATCACCTGGCCGATTGGGTCCAGGAATTTGCGGAATTCCTCGTCTGTCAGGGGAGGGCCCAGTGGGGGCTGCACTGGGGGGGACGCCTGCAGGGTCTGGTGGGGGTCGTCGCTCAGGTTACCCAGGGCGCGCTGCACCAGGCTCAGGGTTCGCTCCATTTTGTTCATTATTAAGTTCGGGAGTTTGGGGGCTTTGGAGGGGAAGCCCGAGTCTTGCTGGCGCGATGGCTCCTGCGTCGACTGGTGGTCATCCCAGTCGCAGTCGCAGTCCCCCGACTCGCCGAACGGCTTCAGGTTCACTTGGAGGTACAGGTAGGGCTCCGACGCACTGGGGAATAGCGACTTTGAGGGTGGGAACTGTCGATTGCAGTTTTCAGGGTTTAGGGAGGACTTAATTTCATAAATTTGAGGGAAATTTCTGGAAAATTTCACTGCTGAAGTTTGGGGATTGGGTAGGGTATTCGACTTTGAGAAACTTTTAACGTGGGAAAGCTATTTTTAATCGATAAGGTAAACACTTTAATGTTAACTCTAATATGATTTTTCTTGCGAAATTTTTACTTGAATTATTGGGTTTTTCAGGGATTTAATTGGAATTTAGTCTTCAAAATTTTGGAACAATTCGGGGGTAACTTCAAACAGATTTTTCTCTACATGTGGGAATTGAGAGAAATTCCTGGGGATTATTCTTTATGGAGATTTATAATTATATTGATTTAGATTTATGTTGATGGGGTACCTTATAAATGCAGCATCCAGGTCCCAGTCTGACAATAAAAAAAGATAAGTCTCTGATCCATAGTCGTCTATAGCTCTGTACGACACTGTGAACTCCCTGAAATCATGAAATTTCATCAGAACTTGTGACTTACCGAATTATTTCAGTTGCGGTAAACGGTTTTAATCGATTTCAACTATTGGTCAGTTTTCAATGAATATCTCGAAATCTAAGGGAGATAGCCAAATTAGTGTTATAACCTTTCTTATAGCCCCCGATTTGCTCTAAAAAAAGGTCATTACAACAATTTTATTATCTCCCTTAGATTCGGAGATATTTCTCGAAAACTTAGCTAAGGGCCAAGTTAACTTAAACCGTTTTACCGCTTCGCTACTGATTTATTGTCAGTTCTTAAATTCATATAAATTTTCGCGGTTTTTATTCACTCCAGGCAGTTAAATAATAAGAAAGTATGCAATTCTCTCTTAATTCATCTTCAGAACCATAAAATCCAGAAAAAATAGTCCAGTGTACCTAACTTTACAAATTAAAAATCTCTATTTTGAGAATAAACCAAGGAATATTCATTTAATAACAAATACGAGCTAGTCTGAATATTCCATTTGCTATAAATTTCTATAGACAGTAAATGCATATAACGAGAATCTTCAAGTTTTATTACTTCATTCCAACACTACCAAATTGCTAAATGACGAGAAAAATCGTTCAGTCCATCGATTTACCCTAAAACCCATAACATTGGACAATTTCCCTCGACTTTATGCCTCCGACGACTGAAAGTTTATCAATAACTACTGCCTCGCCCCCCAAAACACCCCCCAAAGCATATAAAACCCCTCAGAAGTCTTCTGCAACGAAAAAAAAAAGTCGTTTACCCTTTAATATCAAATGCCTTGATCAGTATGCTCTGCAGTACTTCAATAGAAGTTATCTGTGGATCAACACTGAACTTCCTGTACTCCGGCTGGTGCCTGGTCTCGCATTTCTGCAAAATCAATACCCCAAGATAAACCAAAAACTCTAAATGCAAATTCAATGGATTCATGCTTCTGAATGCAGACGTAGGGGAGAGTGGGGTAAAAAACACTTTTGACTTTTTGAAAAATATTCATAACTCAGAAACAGATTTATCAATTGAGCTCAGTCTAAGCTCATCACAAAGAGGAATCATTGTTCTTTCAATTGAAGAATAAAGTTATTCCATTTCATGAACAATTCAACACGTCATGAATATTTCAAGAAAAGTCAAGTGTCCATTTTACCCTGCCCTCCCCTATGGACTCGAATCATCAGGCAAGGGAGTCTCTACCTTCACTTTGACCCGCACTGCCTCCCTGGGGGAGCCGAACATCTCGGTCATTTTGTTGGAATTATTAACGATTCGGTGGAATTGTCGTCTGGACTATTTGCTCCTGGAGATTGTGCGGTGTCCAGGTGCCCAGTGCCAGGGTTCTGGGATTCTCATCGTCCCTGTGTCCTCTCCCCTCACTTCTACGTCGATTGGAATGATCTCATGGGCTCAAAGGGAGGAGAATCATCAGTTCTATGCACCTGGTGGCGATCTTCAGGGCGGGATTTTCTTGGGAATGACTTGTGCTGAGGTTAACAGCGAGATGAGGGATTATTTCCCCGGAAATAGCGACTCAAAGGGTCGGATTTGTACATGAATAAAGCTGTCACGTTGGAGTACATTAGCTGCAGGGCTGGTGAACAATTTTTGGCGAAGGTCTACATGAAATTTATATCACAGCTGGCACTATTGATTTTTGTCATGCTCTCTCACTCACTGAATTTCCTCGGAGACCATCATCACCATCACCAGTCGGGAAGATTAGCGCGGGGGGGAATCATTGGTGATTTGGGATTTGATCTTGATTTTTTTAACACCACTGTTACACTCTCGTAATTGATGATGGGGGACTGGTGGGGTATCAACACTTGTTTCAGTCTTTTGCACGGTTTAAATTCATGGTAAATGAACCCATGGAGGTTGGCTATAGACACTCGATCCGAAAAATGACCTGCTGTGGATAAAATCGCTGGCTGCGGCTGGGGGAGGGGTATGATAAGGTATCGACTCGTGTTAACTGCACGGGCGCCTGTTATTTGAATGGGATTGGAGAGAATGTGTGGGAAATGTTGGGGACGATCATTGATCTTTCGATTATTTTTTTCGAAGAGGTCGAGGGATTCTCGGGAGATTTTTTTATACAGAAAGTAGGCGAGATTAATTGTGAAGATTGTCCCATTGTATCTACTGGTATTTCTTCTTTTTTTTTTTTGAAAATTATGCACAATTTTTTAAGGAAAACGAAACAAACATTTCCATTTTTTTTTTGTTTTCTACATTTTGTAGAAAAAATTCGATCAAAGAATTTCAATGGATTTCCATATTTTTGTCATCAAATAAAAAAAAAATTTTTGTCTAGTGTATTTTCTCATTTTCAATATGCGGCAATTAAAAAAATGGAAATGAACCAATTTTGGAGGAAACTGTGTGATAAAAAAAATTCCAACGATTTTCCCATTTTTGTCATTATCAATATTCAGGAATAAAAAAATTAGAACCTTCATGTCAAAGCATATTTGAAGAAGGAATATCCTATATCTATAGAAGGATATAAAAACACTAGTGTATTCGCTATTTTATTTCATTCGAAATTCTGCTGCAGCCACTCCGAATCTTCCGCAAAATTTAGAAAATAACCCAAATATTTTATTCTTGCAAAAGGGGAATTCTAATTTCTTCACTCTAAATCCTATTAAAAATTCCTTCTCGTCACATCGAAAGTAACCCCATTGCAATAAAAAAAAAACACTAAAACTAATGAAATCAAATAAAATTAAAATTAAAAAAACAGAAATCAACAAAAATCTATTCATTTAATTCTACCAGATATGTTTGGTGGAATTTGAATTTCTTCACGTCTGAAATGTTGACAAATTGCCGACAATCGCCCCTAACTCCGGGATTCCCCACGTTTATTCAGCCCAGCTGTCTCAAAGCCCAACAAATGACTCAACCATTCCCCAAAACCCCGCGGAACTCTCGACAAACGATAGAAAATTAACAATGAAGGATGAACGAGTAGTAAAGTGGCGTCACCGATCAGCCGAACGCATTGACGAACTCATCCGTGAGTCGAGTGCGTGTGTTCGGGGCGCTCAGGGTCGTGGCTTTCGGCAGAGGAGCGAAAACTCGGCTCATTAGATTGACATCTGTAGTTCATTAAAGTCGGGGCCACGCTCCGGGCCGATTATAAAACTTTCTTCCTCTCCAATTCCCTCTTCATCTTACGTAAACAGACATGTGAATGTTTCCCAGTTCGAGTTGAGCCTCAGTCTAAAATGTTTGCGGATGCAGTTCTCGCGTTTTTATTCGTTTTGACTGTTGCGGCGGGTCTCGAGGGGTCGGATATAAAAAAAATCGGGAAGTGTTGTGCCAAAGGGGAGATTATTTCGGCGAGAAAGAACTTCAGTTGCGTCCCTCAAGAAATTTCCACTGAACTCCTCAGTGGCGAGACGACCGGGGACAACTGGGTGCACTTCGACGAGTGTCCGGACACCGGGGAAGTCACGATAATACGACTAAGCGACATAATTGATAAGAATATATCGAGCATAAGCGCCTCCTCCGGGTGCCTGGACCTCTTCGACGGTGACAAGAAACTCGGAGTGATCCCGGTTATTGTTCACTGCGAGGATGACTCGAGTGTGGTCAGCCTCCAGATCCCCAAACTCGCTGGATTCAGAGTCTGCTGTCCCCGCGGTAGGATTTACGACCCCGACGTCCGCGACTGTGTCCCGAGAGAATTAATAGGGACATTGGATATTGCTGATTTTATCTTTGACTCTGTCGGCGGAAAATCCTTTGTTGAGTTTTCGAGTTTTGTGCGCGGCCCACCTCAGTGCAAATATGCGATAGTGGATTATGTCATCGATAGCTGGAGGAATCTCGAAATTCTCGGGAATGGGAGTCTTAAGGTAAATATAGAATTTTAGGGGGATTACTGGTAGGTTTTGTGTGCTGGCGTGGGAGGTAATCTTTTTTTTTTTTTAATTCCGCGGCTTTTGGGGCTTTTTATTCGTCGCGGGGACGAGCGGCTGAAGGGCTCGATGTCATAACATTTTTTTTCGTCACTTGTGGGTAAAGGGACACTTATTGGGAGGAAAGTAGGGCTCGATACTCGTGGGTGAAGGGTTCTTCCATTCTTAGGAGGGTTTTTACATACCTTCTCATGGGGTTTTTAACCATTGCATTTTTTTCAGTAAACATTTTCGGGTTATTCATATTGAGAATAATCCCGGTTCCATAATGATAATTTTTTCAAAAATTCGTTGTTTACTAATAAATAATTGAACCTGTTTAATCTTTCGGAAATCGATTTCCAGCAAAATTCTGAAAATGAATAAATTTGTTACGATTCCGAATGGGTGATTTTTACAGCGGAAAATGGATTGTTTATAAATTATTCCATCAATCTTCCTCCAAAAGTAAACTTTCTAATTTTTTCAGAATTGAGTAATGTTTTCTAACGGTTCAACATCGAGATTCAAGCTCAGACCTGTCAACTTTAAATAATAGAATAATTGCAAAGTATCTGGAAACTACACGGAGAGAAATTTTTTAGAAAAATTCTAGTCCTAGCACGGGAAAAGAGGCGCAAAGTGACGGCCAGGAAAAAATTCCAGTGCCGGCACTAGAAATTTTATTGGGGAAAACGTGAATTTTTCCCAGTATTTCTGTGAAAATTTCACAGAAGTCCCCAGAAATTTTACCAGAAATACCAAGAAATTTTACCTTAATAGCACTAGAATTTTTCACAAACGGTGGATTGTGATTTTTTCCAGTACTCGTACTAGAATTTTTCTAGAAAATTTCTCTCCGTGTAGGGGTCAAATGGGGCTCAAATGAAAGCTCCGATGTTCCCCTGCAAAAGTAAAAAAGCATTTCACTGGAGGAGAAATCTCCAAAGTACCTAGATACCCTTAAACCGTTTCAGCTCTTCCCTACTGAAATCTGAAAAATGAAAAACGTGAAAAATCGCCCGCTCGTCTCTCCCGCATTCCGCGATAAAGAATTCACGGTCAATACGATCATTTGAATTCAAGAGTATTTTTCCACGCAATCTCAAGCGCTGAAAAAAGACCCTCCCATTCACAGAAACCGGATAATGTTCACCAATGTTTATTCTGCTACACCTCTGTTTATCCTTTTTTCCTCGCCCCATCCTCTCCCCGGAGTTAAATTTTTTATGACGCCACTTCTCGCTCCAGCCATGTTATTTTTCCCCTCCACTGTTTACATTACAGGTTTCAATTTCGTCTGACGAGGACACGAGTGTACTCCTGACCGAGGAGAATTCATGCCTCGATAGAGGTACTTCATCTGGGCTTATCCTGAGATTATGCACTGGCGCGGAATATTGTCGTAGGAATGCTTGTGTGAGAAAGTGTTGTCCCGAGGGCCAAGCGAGAATCGGTAGAGTTTGTCAAATGATTCCACTAGGTACTGTGCCGCCGGGTGAATTTCATCGGAGACTCGAGGAATTCTCTCGAGCCAAGCCCAATCATTCCGAGTGGAAACCGTTGGATACAGCCAGTTTGTTACTTTGTTTTTTAGTAAATAAATTTGTATTTTGAGAGAAAACAATAGTGAAATCAACAAATTCGTCAGGCCCACAGCAAGATATTTTGCTGTTCTACGAAAATTTCACTAGTTTGAAATTATAAACATGGGATATTTCGCTAAATGTCAATTTATTTATCAATCCTCTGAATGATGGAATTGTTTTCTCTCAGTGAATTATTTGTATGAAAAAATTTGATGGAAAAATTACTTTTGGTTCTACTGAAAATGCCACAGTCTCACGAGGCTATTTCTATGGAAAATTCACGTAACTCTTCAATTCTCGTCTTCCAGTTGCTTAAAAATGTCGAATATCGTTAAATTTCCAGGGAAATTTGAGATTTCATGAAATTCTATCTCTTACGCGAAGTCAATGTCGTAACAAATGCATTTTTCTATTGAACTTCACACTTAAAAAATTTGTTAATTGAAATTCCAAGGCATTTTGTCATCGATAATTAACAATTTTATGCAAAAATCAATGGAAATTTTGGATTTCAGACGAACTGTTCCATGAAAATTGATGAAAATCAGAAAAATTCAGTGTAATTTGGTACTCAATATTCATGTTTTGATTGAAAATTCAAGTAACTCTTTAATTCTTGTCTTCCAGCCCCTCAGAAATGTGGAATTTCGTTAAATTTATAGTAAAATCTTAGAATTCATGAAATTTCATGTTTTGCGCGAGTTCAATCTCCTAACGAATGCCTTTTTCCTTTGAATTTCACACTGTTAAAATTTTTTACTTGAAATTCAAAGGAATTTCATCAGTGAAAATTCCAAATTTTATGAAAAAGTCAATAGAACCGGTAAATTTCAGTTCAATTATTCCAGGAAAATTTATGGAAATCTGAGATTTCATGAAATTTCATTTCTCATGCGCATTCAATATCCTAACGAATGCGTTTGTCCATTGAATTTCACACTGTTAAAATTTATCAACTGAAATTCCAGGGAATTTCATCATTAATAATTCAAAATTTTGTGGAAAAATCAATAAAAATGGTGAATTCCAGTCAAATTCCGCCGAAATCTAAAATTTCCTCATTAGTTTATCCCTAAAATCAAATTATGATTCAACCGGGTTAAGTCGATGTGACTATTGGCCAGTTTTCGACGAATATCTCGGAATCTAAACGAGATACAAAAATTTCTCTCACGACCTTTTTTGTAGAGCCAATTGAGGGTTATAAAAAAGGGCATGAGAAAAATTCTGCTATCTCTCTTAAATTCCGAGATATGAATGAAAAACTGACCGAAAGGTCAAAATCGACTTGACCCGGTTTACCGCTTCGCTACAGAATTTTCCAATGTCTCAAAAATCTTGAATATCCCAAGAATATGGATTATTAATCGGTGAACACTCATGCGAGCACGGAAAATACTCACTGATGCCCGATGAACTTCCGGTTATCGATTCCCACGGTAACATTCACATCCACCTACCCGAGCATGAAAGATTCAGGCACCACGAGTACTGCATGGAGGTATTCCGCAACGTAACGAGCTATGACGACGGTTTCTACCCCGCCGTGTGTTTCCCCAATCCCGACCCCCCGGGGCCCAACAAATGGAGGTATTAATTACGAATATCATCGAATGACACAACTAATCACCACTGAATTATCACTTCCCTCCTTCCAGATTCGGTATCAATGCAGCCCTGGAATTAACGAGCTGCATGTTTCTGCTGATAACATTTCTCGTTTACGTTTTTCTACCACTCCTGCAGAATCTCCACGGCAAAACATTGATGTGTCACGTCGCGAGTTTATTCGCTGCATACGCCTGTCTAGCTGCGATCGCACTGACTGAACCACCGTGGCCAGAGGCAGATGCATCAACGAGGGATGACGGTAACAATGAAATTTCATCTGATAGTGGTTGTAAATTTCTTGGATACACCACGCTATTCAGCTTTCTCGCTGCGTTCGCCTGGCTCAATGTCATGTGTTTTGACATTTGGTGGACGTTTGGGTAATTGAATCATTCATTCAGTCATCGGGGTAATCGTAAATTTTAAAGAAAGTTAAATTTTGGGTTAGTCGGTGGGTTGATATTACTGAGAACTTTTTAATTATTGAATTTGTGATTCAGCCCCCGGTGGATTAGTTTTCGAACGTTATCTCGATTGTTTTTCCATCTTCATAATGTAAAATGTATCACTATTTTCATTGGCTTTGACATCACGCGGAGGTCACTAAAAATTATGATTGTGCAGTCAAAAAAAGTAGAAATAAACTGAACATTTTCAAAGAGCTTTTTTAATAAAGATTAAGAAATAAGTCCGATGGAGAGGAAATAGTGAATGGGTAATTTATCATGGTAACTAAGGATCTGAGAGCCATTGACTACTGTGACAAATGACGACCTAACAGCCACTAGATGCGTCAAATTATTAATTTGCGATTTTCTCCCTATTGGGTTTATTCCCCAATATTATTCAAAAATGCTCTTTGAAAATGTTCAGCCTGTTTTCAACGTTTTTTTGAAAAAATAAAAAAAATAAATAAATAAAAACAAAATAAAAATAAAATAAAAACAAAATAAAAAAAACAATCAAGATCACGTTCGAAAGATAATCCACCCGGGCCTTGGAGAAAGTTAAATTTTGAATTAGTCGGTTGGTTGATATTACTGAGAATTTTTAAATTACTGAATTCATGATTAATTGAATATTCGAATTTCAAATTATTTTAACAATCAATAATTGAGTTCGGAAGATTGACGATTATTTGGTTAATGAGAAACATTTTTATTTAAAATTATTTACTCAATTGTCAATTATTCAATTGATAGTCAATTGAAAATTTAGGTTATCGATTATTTTATTAATTTTCAGATTTCAATGAGGATAAGTAAATTTTAATTTATTTTAAGAATATGCAAGCACTTTTTACTATTTGATACAGACTACTCTATAGAGTCAATCATTTTCAATCATCAAATTCGTCAATTAATTTCCGTGAGAAAAATTTGAAAAACATTATGAATATTCAGCGTTATTAAAATGACATTTTGCACAGAATTATAATTTTTTTTTAACATTCGTTATTTATAAACGAATAATTGAAATTAAAACTTTAAACTTTCGGAAACCTTATTTTTTGTGCATGAAATTGATTCCTGATAAAATTCTGAAGATGAATAAATTTACGATTCCGAACGAATGATTTTTACGGTGGAAAATGGATTGTTTATAAATAATTTATAAAAAATACTCGTAGTTTTTAAGAATTGCAAAGTTTAAATAATAAAATCACTGTAAAATCCATAACCCGTAGTGTCCATAAACTTGGAGTCAAATGGAGCTCAAACGAAAGCTCTGAGTGCGACTGCAAAACTAGAAAAGCATTCCATTGAAGAAAGAATAGCGAAAGTACTTGGATATCCTTAAAACTATCGTATACGTGTCCGATGCATTCAACTGTCTCCAGGGACTTCTCATATGACTCATCGTTTTCTCGATAAAATGTTCGGAAACTACGACTGATATTGCGCCCAAAAAATCCTCTCGGTCCACCCTACAAACCCCGAAAAGGATTTCCCGACAAAATCGTCTAAACGACTTGGCTATCCCAATATTAATAATCCAATGATTGATGCCGCCCCCTGCATTAATCATGTTTAGTGCCCCAACGTAACGGACCCCACGGGGATGAAATATCGATGGAGTAATGGAACTGTAGTTCTGATAACCAAAACACTAAAAGCGAAATGTCCTTTCGACGCGCGCGGCCCTTGGCAAGATAAGGGTTTATATGTTCCTCTTCACCCCGAAAAATCCAACAACATCTCCCCTCCAACGTCGTCACATCCAATCCTCCATCTCCCCGAGATTCGTGCCAAAGATAATTCCCAAGATTAATGACGAGCCGCAGAGTCAAAACCGTTCATTCTGCGAGGAAATGCAAAGAGACTGGTCACGAATTCCTCAGCCTTCAGAGACAAAAAAGATGAATTCAAACGGCTTTTTTATTCAGTCTTTGATATTCCCCTTTCATTTCGTCCACGAAAATCCAATGGCACTCCCTCCCTTTGACATCCCTCAAACGTAACGCTATATTTTGCTGGGATTTGGGTCGTTGTTGGCTACAAGGGGAAACTTAACTTTTGTGGCAGCTGTGAAGAGGCTCAGGACTCGAGACAAGATATGGCCCCGCAGGGGGTTTGTATGTGTCCACGCAACCAACTCATCACCTCAGACCACTTCGGTCAGGCCAAGCTTCCCTCTTACCCTGGCGATAAGGTTGTGCACAAGCACCAAACCGAGTTGTCGACAAAAAGCCAACACTGTACAGTGTAATGTGCATTGTTTTCAACTTCCACTGCAGCTCATGCTTCTTTTTTTCTCACCCTCCCCATTGTTTTTTATTCCATTCTTTTAAGACTCGTCTATCTTTAGATTTCACCCAGTCGTCTCTCCCCGCTGCCCTTTCTCTCGCGCATTTTACTCTCCAAGAAAAGGTGAGAACAAGTAACAATGTGCTACGACGAAGAACTAGCCGGAGATGTTTGTGTACTCAGCACGCGCCGATTTTCGAAAATAGAATTCAACTGATGTATACAGTGTTGGAAACAGTCTGAGATATTTGAGGAATGCTGGATGGCATATGTCGATAATTCATTCTCGTCGTTTCTCTTTTAGGGGGTTGGGCGGCGCTGGGGGGAGGAGAGGAGCACAAAGAAAACGATTTTTTCTTTATTCTTTGTACGCCTGGGGTCTTGCATTCGCTTTAGCCTGCCTCGCTGGCGCTGCTGATTACACCGGTGTCATGCCGAGGAGTATGAGACCGAATATCGGCGTGGATTCGTGCTGGTTCAATTGTAAGATTTTTTTGAGGTTTTCTTGGCGGCGGGGGCGCGGAGAGAAATGTTCGGTAAAAATTACGGAACAACGAACGGAAGCCGCAATCGGTTTCCGGCAATTTTTATGGAATGGGAGGGGAGACATCTGAAACGTTCAGGGAATTTTCAGGTTCGTCACCGAACAAAGTGGGAAATTGTCACGTCATTTTTCCCGATGAAGTAAAATCTTACAGAAACTTGACGACTTATGGCTACAAAATCAAAAATTCTTGAACGTTGGACAATTTTTTTGAAGCTGGTGAGTTATTTCTAAGTTCCGTTCCGTAAAAAACAGCGGTGACTGTCAAACGGGTGGTTAATTTTTACGGAACAAATCGTAGAATTTACGTGGCGATTCGTACGGTTTCAGTTCCGACTCAGACTTTTTATTGAATTTTACTTCGATCGCGGGTTACGTTTCGAAACGTAATTTTTAGTGCATTTTTCTCTCCGTGCGGGGAAAATTTTCGGCGGTTTCGGCTTATTGTATCGCAAACGTTGGTTTCAAGAATGATGTACTTGTTCTGATGGAGAAATTGTTTTGATGAAATAGTTCTTTATTAAGAGGACTGAAGAGAACTTTTTTCATGGGGATTGTTAATTTATAAGGACTCAAAAATCATTCGTATTGGAGAGGGTATTTGATTTTAGAAAAAAGTCTTTTTAAATTTCAATTTGAGCTGAAATTTCAATTTATTTAAAATTCAAGAAGATATTCACCTGAGGTTTTTCGGTTTCAGTCTAATTGTGATTTCTTAATTATGAAATTTTTGGAAATTTCAGTGGACATATCACTTATAAAAAAATTCAATCGTTAGATTTTTGTTTTAATTCCTTCATGATCAGCTCTGATAAATTCCTAAAGGATATGTTTTGTTGGAATTCATACTACAAGTTTCATTTTTAAAAATCGTTGATTCTCATGAAGGAATAGAATTGTTATAAAATAAATTTTATAAAGAAATCTAAATGCAACTTTTTTGTGGAAAAAAAATCCTCTCGTCCCGATTTTTTTAAACCGTTGGAAAAAAAATCAATTTCCATGAATGAAAAAAGTCTTCAAAAATGTGAATTTTAGTTGAAATTTCAACTAATTAAAAATTCAAGAACATATTCACCTGAATTTTTACAATTTCCAATCATTTTCCCTGAATAATTGAACGCAATCATCATTTTTATTGCTTTTCTCATCAAACTGTAATTTTTCAACAACGAAATTTTCTGAAATTTCATCGGATAAGTGAAGAATTTTCCTATGCATTTTTCACATCTGAGAAGATAAAATAAAACCGTACATTGTGATACAAGTGAAAAATCATTCCAGTAGCGAAGTGGTAAAACGGTTCAAGTCAATTTTTTTTTTATTAACGCCTCCGGATCCAGGATGGGTCCATTCAGCTTAAAAAAAATTATTTAATACATCCTTTAGTACATCGAGTCTTGTTGTTGCATATTTTATACTTTGATTTTGCAATTTTTCAAAAATTTGGAAATACTTTTGATATATGATTCAAGTCAATTTTGACTATTGGCTAGTTTTCGATGAATATCTCGGAATCTAAGGGAGATACCAAAATATTTGTTATAAACTTTTTTGTAGAGCCAATTGAGACCTACAACCAACATAATTACGAAAATTTCGCTATCTCTCTTAGATTCGGAGATATTCCTCAAAAACTCAACTGGGAGATGAGTCGACTTAAACCGTTTTACCACTTCGCTACTGATTTTTGTCGAGTGTAAGAGATGCGAAAAATATCAATTTTTTTCCACCATTTGCAGCGGAATCCAGTGGCGTTGTAATTTTTTTCATAACTCCCATATCAATTCAACTAGTGGCCAATGTGATATTTTTCATTCTGACATCGCTCCACTGCAGTCGCGTCAGAGCCGAGATAACGAGGGTCATGAGGCCAGCGACAGACCCCAGGAGTCGGCGTTTTCACTCGGACAGATCCAAGTGAGTCCCTATCAATATCATAATTTCCGGAATAAAGCGGTAATTGATATTTCAGATTAATCGTCAACATCAAACTTTTCATCGTGATGGGAATATCCTGGGTCATGGAAATAATCTCCACTATTCTCAATCGTTACGCAACCGATTTTAATTGGCGAGCCGAGTTTTTTTACGTTTCCGATGCATTCAACTGTCTCCAGGGGCTTCTCATTTTTATTCTGTTTGTGCTGAAGAGCAAGGTTTATCACGCGCTTAGGCACAGGTTGAAGGAGGGGAGGCACAGTGCTCAGGGAACATTGAACACCACTTTGCACGATCCTTTCAGGGTCCAGAAGAGCGCCAGTTGCAGTACTCTGATGTCCACATTTGCAGTTAATTGTAATCCATGAGTAATGAGTCGTGAAATGAGATCATTTTTATTTTTTGATTGTCACCAGACATTTCGTCGTACAATCACTTTTTCATTCCCCAATGCATCATGACTAGTCATTTAATCCTGGTAAAAAAGATCCTGCACAGAATTTTTTTTTTCTGAAAAATTTTCATTTAAAATTGAGTAAATTTCGTTTATTCTTTTTTTCCAATTTGGGTAGAAATATTTTCTTTGTCTTTAGAAGTTTTGGATCAGTGAAGCAAAGTGAGCAATTTTGACTTTTTTCTAAATGCCAATCGCTCATTGAATTTTCAATTAAATGAAATTTTTTTTCCGTGGAAAATGGGATTTTTCCATTTTCAGATGAACCTAATCCGATATTGACTGATAAATTTATTTCCAAGTTATGGACATAAAAAAAAAAATCAAGTGTACATTTTACCGATAAACAAATTAAAATTTTTTTAAAAATTTTCTCTCATTTTTTTTATTTTAAAAAATCTGAAAAAAAATGGAACGTTCACTTTTGGAGGAAGATTGAACAACAATTTGTGAACAATCAATTTTCCACCGTAAAAATCATTTATTCGGAATCGTAACAAATTTATTCATCTTCAGAATTTTTCCAGAAATGGAATTAATGCCTAAAAAAATAAAATTTCCGAGACTTTAAACAATTTCAATTATTTATTTATAAACAACGAATCTTTAAAAAAATCCTAATTCTGTGCAAAATGTAATTTTAATAACGCTGAATGTCCATGATTTTTTTCTAATTTTTCCTACGCAATTTAATTAACAAATTCAATGGCAATTGGATATCCTTAACACTAAAATTTGTAGAATAGTCTCAACCGCTGACTTTCAAAAAAGAATTCGTTTAGACTGATTTTCAGCCATTTATTATTCATATTGACGATATCCCCAGTTTTTATAAGATTCAAGTCTCTTTAATCCATGAAATTCAATTTCCTCGGACCTTTTTCCCCAGGATTGAATGGCCTGTAACCCAAAACGCACCTGTACATACAAATTTCATAATTCAGATGAATAAAATATGACCAAAGCCACAAACGGATAAAAACAATATCTTTATTACACCTAAACCCCCGATTAACCGGAGACGAAACAATGCAATAACCATTACACAGATTCAAAAAATTGATTAACAATCAATGCAATACGTATCTACACACTGATGTAAATGTTAATATGTACAGATTGGCTCCTCAATGACGAAACGAGAGAAAAAATGATTCACAAAAATCGTACAATAGAAATGAGATAAGCATCCACCCGAGGAATCAGGGTTTGCTATCAGCACTCTCCTCGAGGTCTGGATCCTCGTTGATAATAGAAATGTCCCTGATAGAATGCTTCCGGGATCTCCATCCTTCCTGCGGCACAACGAGCTCGGTAGTTTTGGTGAGCAATCTTGGACCAGTGAGTGAGATAATTATAGCCCCAGTTGGAGCTGTTAGAATAATCGATAGAACGCAGAGTGTCAGGGTTGTCTCGGCGTATCTCACAGCGTCGGTATCACTTCTGTTTATTTGATCGAGTGTAACAGGACCCAGTGCAGCCTGGACCGTTGCCTTCGCCATGCAGGCAAGGGCTATGAATATTTTTTCCTTGAGATTTAATCGCGAACCAACGCCAACCAAGACTGTCGCGAAAATCCTGAGGATAATTCCAGCGACTAAACAGGCTATGCAGAGGTACACTGTGGGCCCATCTAACTCGTTTATCTTTATTTGGGTGCCAGTGACACTGAACAAAATTGGCTCGAAGATCATCCAAAAGATCTCGAAGGATATTGTCACTGGATTCTGAAAGAGAAATTGGGGCGTTCCTTATTCATAAGGCTTTTCTGAAAACTATTTCATGACTCGAGAATTTTTTTTTGGGTAATGAAACATTTATGAGGGACTTCCTGATTTTTTAAATAAGAAATACGTATCTGATATTTTTGATTCAATTTTTAATTTTATTCATTGCAGTCAATCAAAATCATCACGCCAGAACGTAACTGATTCATTTTTAATATTGCGGAAGTGCTTGTGGGGATGCAAAGAAAATTTTTTTTTAAATGAATAGAATGAGAGAATATTGATGCATGTGTTTTACGATGAAAGGAAAATAAATGAGCACAAGAACAGAATGAATGGGGAAATGTTAATAATTAATTAGGTTTTCGATAAATGAAGTCGTTCAATTTTTTTTGAAGAATCCTCATTTCAATCGATGAATTTAATCTGGAGTTGTAAACATTTTTGAAAAAAATACTGATTCATTTTGTTGATTGAATAAATTTTGTCGACGATTATTTAATTAATTACATTCCTGATAAAATAAAATAATTTCATTTTTCTGTTGAAAATATTCCATTCCCTTCGTCATTAATTCGAACTGTGTTCAATCGATGAATTTCATCTCCAGTTGTGAATATTTTTGAAAAAAAAATCGTTTCATTTTTTACTTGAATAGATTTTGTCGCCACTTATTTAAGAATTCTCTATGCAATGGTGTCTAGGAGATATTTATAATCTAGAATTGGAGAAAAATGTTCATTCCTTCCTGTTTTCATCATAAACTATTAATTTGTTTATCAAATGATTTTATCACCGTCATAAAAAAAATTTTCATACGTCTATAAAAAAAATTTAACGATTAATTTTTCAGCGTTTACACAACGATAATCTCAGCCACATGGTAAATACATTCAAACTGGTATAAACTAATATGTCCCATCTACAACACGGCCAATCATCATTATTCGTATGTCCTTCGGAACAAGTCGCCGTGAAAATCGACAAGTTCCGCTCTCGGCTAAACTGACGAGAATCACGATTCAAGAGCAGTGCGGGTAGTTTAGATGAGGAGATTGCAGGAAGGGTGGGGGCAAGGAGATGTAGGGCAGTGTCAAGAGTTTTCGGGTTTTTCGAAAAAGAGAACGAATCGTTCATCCTCTGAGCTGAAATCACGATTTTTCATGATTTATTAAAATAACAAAAAAATATCTAATGTTTTTTCATTTAATTTTAATGTTTCATGATTCTATTGAATTAAAAAAATTGCATGTAACCACCCTATTAATCAATTTTTTAATAATAAATGCTTGTGGACGATAGAAAATTATTACAGATGTCTTGAAATGAGGAGAGCCCGGTCTGGACTATCCATTTTTTAGTAAAAAATTTCTTCTTATTCATATTGAGAATAATCATAAACAGAATTTCCTATGATGTTACAAATTTGTGGAACGTTATCTAAATTTCCTTCTTCAATAAAGAATTTGTATTTTTTTTTTTTTATTTTTTTTTTCATCACATTATGGTACTGAATGCAATGAATGGGCGGTATGGGATGAAAACTTTTTCTGAACCCTTAAAAACTCGCCGAATTTTTCATAAAATGAGATCATTCAATTTCCACTTTATTATTTAAAATTGTAAAGTCATTATGTCAGTGTCAAGGCTTTTCGAATTATCTGGAAACGACAAAAAACCAATTGTTCATCTTCCGAGAATTCTAAAAACTCTGCATCTGTACAAAGAGATTGTTTACACTTCATCCCACTTCCTCACCGAATTAATCATGACGATTTGATTTATGAATTGTTCATTTTCGCCGGAATTATTGCAGTTGATGTGGATCCACGTACGTGGGATTATTCCGAAGGCAAATATCAACGGCTGCCAATTAATGAAGAGGTGCGGGGGGGGGTGGAGGAGGGTAGGAGTTTCCGCGCATTAGTGAGGACTGCATCCGTCTTAATTGCCAAGTGGTGTGTCAAATTCAATTAAAAATACTCTTCTGATTGCACGAGCCTCAAATCAACCCTTGAGTTTTTAATGAATCGGGAGTTGTGTACTTACATCGTCGATGTCCCACCCCTCCTGCTGCCAGAAGTAGCAGCTGACGAAGGCAGCGGCAACGACGGCCAGTGGTCCAGCTCCGCCGAGTTCGATGGCTTCGCTACCGAACACTGCGAGGAGGCCTCCGACGAGGAGCATTAGCACTCTGAGAGGTACCATAAATGGCTGAAAATAGGGAATTCAGAGATTTGTTAGTGGAGGAAATCAGCAGAATTAGAGAACACGATGTGAAAAAGCTGTTTTGGAATTTTAGTATTTCCGCACGTTTCTCCATTGAATGCGATTTAGGGGAAAAAATCAGGAAATATCAGATTCAAGAGAAAATTTAATGAAACTTCAAATTTTTGTGCAACATTAGGACGAGAAAATGTGAATGTTTAGTGTCAAATTATAAATTTAACGACAATGACAATTAATTGGAGAAATTACAATCAATTGAAAATTCAGGAATATATTCCTGGGAATTCTAATGATTTCTATTAATTTTCATGGAATAATTGAACTGAAATTAAAAGTTCGCTTAGATTTTTCCGTGAAATTCAGAATTCTCAATTATGAAATTCCTCGAAATTTCAGTGGAATGAAAATGTGATTAAAATTTCCATGAACTGTACCGGGAATTTCCAACAGTGTGGCGTTGAAAATTGTTCCATTGAGGTACAAAAATTGTGATAAAACATCTGTTGGGAACGGTAAGAATTTTCCAAAATCGTAATAAATAAATTTCCCAGTGTTTTATTGTAATTTCAGCCCAAATATTTAAAAAAATTGTGTTTTGAGGAAAATATGTTGAAATTTCAAAAAAAGATTTTCCAGAAATTTCCTTTCCCATTGATTTTTCCATAAATTCAGAATCCAAAAAATTTCTCAAGGCCTGAAATTCCATTCCAGCAAAATTTCGTAAAAACATTTTCAGAAAATCAACTTACATCTCCTTTCTCAGGAACGTATTTCGCCAAACACCCCCAAAGGGCACCAAACCCGAGTCCCCCAACAATAGCCAATGGTCCCTGGAGTATTTGATACCACAGAGCATCATTGGAGAATAGAACACTCTTCAGAATACCGAAGCCAGCGACCGAAACAGCATCATCAATACCAGATATCCCGATAATCAATGTTGGGATTCCCTGCAATATAAAAAATTCTTCTCGTTTTACCCCGAGCATCCGAACATTCCCAATAGCCTCATCAGGAGTCACGCATTAGTGTTTCCCCATCACAGCCATAATAATAAGAGCATTAACAAACGAATGGATCGACTGATAAATTATTTCGCCCACACAATGCTGAAATGTTCCTCGCTATACCCGATGTATATGCTCTGCGAATAATTTTTGTTTTCTAAAAAAATGAAAGATAAATAAGGAAAATAAAATAAAATCAACTGCAATCAATTAATAAACGTAATAAACCCTAAATAAAGGAGTTTTCTTCCCGAAAAAAAGATAAATTAAAATAAACAATGACAGGAACTGAATGTGGCTCGAAAAACTTGATCACCAAAATATCAGAATCAATAAATAGAACTTTCATCGGAATCAACTAATTGAATGCGCGAATTAATGCAATTAACTAATTAATTGCTTTCCACTGAAGCTTCTGTTCACATTAAATAATTTATTTCGAACGCAGATGAATGTTCTCTTGATCCAAAATAAAGACTTTATTAGTTACAAATGGAATAATTCAGTAGCGAAGTGGTAAAAGGAGATAAGTGCATTGTCTTCTAAATTCGTCATATTATTATTACCATTTGAAAATAAATGTTTCATTGTGATTCACGCAAAAAAATTTATTTTTCTTAATGTACTTATCTCCTTTTACCACTTCGCTACTGAATTGCTTAATCGGCAAAGCGAATTAATTTATTAACACGTAATAATCCTCCACTGGCCATAAATGCGCTGTATAAATAAATAAATGCATTTCGTGGAATTAAAAAGCTTTAATCGAACTGAATACATCGGTGCATTAATTCCCAAAAAATGTTAAAATGAATAGTTTTGAATGAACAGTCTTCTTCGATTCAAATCCGCCATTTCTGAGGGCATATCCATCTATCTACTCTTACCTTAGCCACCCCATACCCCTTGCTCCTCAGTCTGAAGAGACAGGGCACGATAACAGCCGGCGATACCGCCGCAACGACACTCCCAATCAGCAAACTCCAGATCCAAGGTAAATCCAGGAGGTACTTGCTCATTACTGTCACGACAACGGCCTCCACGAGCCACGGAACCAGCCCAATCTTCGGCATCGTGATCCTCTGCCGCCTGACGGCGTGCGGATCCAGATCCAGTCCCGCTCGTGTGAGGATAATCACCAGAGCGATCTTCCTGTGTTGGATTCATCAACAAGGGGATGAAATTTCATCTTTTTTCAAATGGGGAAAATTTCTGTCGTTGATATATTTTTTCAAACTATGTTATGACCCTTGTGGCCCTTATTTAGACCCTCGTGACCCTTATCCTGATCCTCGGAACCCTTAATTTTTGAGTCTTAATTTCGAGTACCAAATTTTCATCACCAGAAGTCGATTTGGGTTTTTGTAATACAGAGAGATGTGAAAATAGTATATTATACTGTTGTATAATTTTTTTGTGATATCTGCTTTAAAAGTGCACTTTATGTCACACGGAGATAAAAGTATTATCTGGCGAATGTGGCTTTATAATCCGAGCCCAAGGCGAGATCATAATCACGTTCGTCAGATAATATTTTCATCGCCTGGTGACATAATCTACTATTTTGAAACGGTCTAGTGTGCGTAAAGCGGTTGTTTTGAGCACACCGTGCGTAAAGTGCGTAACTTTACATATTCGCACACGAAAACAATTACTTTACTTTCACAACCGTTCCGGACGGTAAACTAAAATAAGAAAAAATGAAATAAAATAGGAATAAAAAAATCGGATGTAAAATAGGATGTATTACACGTGCGTGCAAAAAAGTCGAACTTTACGCACTAGTAACATAATTAGTACGTTTCGAGACGAGTGTGTAAAAGTGTTTTTTGACCCGCGGAAGGTGTGTAGCGCTCCCAAGGGTCAAAGAACGCTTTTCCCACGAGCATTGAATCCTATTATTCGTCACGATTGTGCGTAGAATTTCACTTTACGCACAAGTGATAAAAAATACTATTCTAACAGTACTTCTTCGTTATTCGACACTTTCATTCGTATTTTCCCACTGATAAATGTTCGTTTTGTGCGGAAAAAGGGACAGTAGTTCTTCGTGTCGGCTATATTATCAAATTCAATGTAAAATTCAAAGCGAACAGGTTTTTTCGGTAATTTCTAACTCGCAATTTTTTTTCGTCCAAACAAGACTTGTTCGTCTCTCTTTCAGTGCACTTCATCCTATTTTTCTCAAGAACACGATAAAACGATTGAGTAGCGATACCGGAATATTTATATCAGTCATGTGAATCTCCGATAGTCGAGGTAAACACTGAACTTCAACGGAAATATTTCTAGCTAACACACATCCGGAGAACTTGTTTATTTGAATTAATTATAATTTATTTAATGCAAAAATCAAGTTGTATTGAAATTGATTCTTCTGTCTGCTCTTATTTATCGCTTACCAACAATTTTGTTATTTATGTTTAATCGCAAAAACATTATTCAATAAAAAATGAAATTTTAATGAACTTTATTTTTATTTGAACTTGCCTTTATATCAGACGAAGAGTTTTTGGGATTTAGATAAAATCATAAAATCAAAGAAATTCGTTATTTCATATAAATAAAAGTGCAAATAAAAATCTAGTTCAATAAAATTTTAAATATAAATTCGACAAATTTCATTTAATCAAATGAGAAAATTAAAAAGTTTTTCTTTTACCCAAATAAATACTTTATTCATAATAATTCTTCATTGGATGAAACAAATCATTCAATTTGATTCTGAAATAAAATTTATTTGAAATGCCTAAATTATTCATTTCGTTCAATTAAAATAGTGTTAGAATGAATGACATAAAGAACTCGATTTGATTGAAACGCGTCATTTTTCTGGTAGGCTATAAATTTTTGAACCGAGTCTCGTGACTCCTTTCTCATGTGACTCGAGAAAAGCGAGACAGCCGTGGTGGTCGGGTGTTAATTGATCTGTGTGAGCAAATAAAAAAGCGGAGGGAATACATATGTGTTTGACCGGGTGTAGAACCCGTGACTCGGTTTAACAGAGTTCGACTCATGTAGACGTTTTCCTTAGCGCGTCGGGGATCGATAATTGATTGTCATTTGAATAAATAAATTGACAAGTCACGAGTTACCACGTGCTTTCTCGGTTCTCTCGCTCTTCACATTACTCTCGTTGACATAATTTATATCAATCATTATGTCATGTTTCTTTTTCATTCAACCAATGAGATTCTCCGAAAATCAGTCTGATAATTTCTGTATCTCTGAGAGCATAGATGTCGATCAATTTTTTAAAAATGATTTTTTCAACAGAATGAGGAAGAATTTGGCGAATAACGAGGAATTTGTCTCTTGATTCTTCGGATGGTTAATCAGAAGAGGGTGGGGTAAAACGAGCGGTTTTAATTGTGAATATTTCCTGATCAAGTGATACGATTGGATGAATAATGTTTCATTTTTGCAGCTTCAAAAAATATGCTGGAAGTAAACAAAAACAGAAAACTGCACTTTATCGGTTTTTCAAGGAGAGACTACTACGAATTTTTAAATCGCATTGAATTTTCGTCGCGGGCTATTCGAGAGAAATTAAATATAAATCCCACTCCAATAGCCCGCGACTTTTGAAATTCATAGTAGTCTCCCCTTAAATTATTGACCCCTTCTTTCAATTCGCGGAAAACCACCGCTTTACGCACACTAAACCGCTTCAAAAAGCGCACTTTTCAGTCAAGTATCCCAAAATAGTATATTGTGTTACTAGTGCGCAAACTTCCACTTTTTCGCACGTGTAGCACATTCTATTTTTTGTGATACCTGCCAAGTTGAGTGTTCGGAACGATAGTGCAGGTAAAGTTGTTATTGTGTACACGTATTCGCTTTACGCACGGCATGCGGAAAACAACCGCTTTACGCACACTAACCCGTTTGGTCGAAGCTTACGCAATGCGTGACACAATTATTCACCTGTTTTTCGATTATTTTTGACAATTGCAAGCGTCGCATTCACTGTGACAGAACCCTTTCGAAAAATGCACTTTTCAGGCAGGTATCACAAAATAGTTATTTTCATCACAAGGTCCACAATGTATTTTCTGACGAACGCGGCTTTGTAGGCCGAGCCGAAGGCGAGGCCTCTAATCACATTCGTCAGAAAATACTTTTGGACCGTGTGATGAATGCAATTTTTCGACGAAATAGTAATTTTCGGTCCTAGGCTTAAAAAGTATTTTCTGACAAATGCGACTTTATAATCCGAGCCGGAGGTGAGCTTTTCTTTATAATCGCGTGAGTCAGAAAATACTTTCAGGCCGAGGGGCGAACGTAATTTTATGTCGGTACACCCCGGTTTTTTCGGGCCGAGTGACATAATTAGTATATTTCGTGTCGAGTGCTGGGGTTTTCGGCTCGTGTGAGGTTGACGCGCCGAGCGGAAGACGAGGTGTGCCAATCACACGAGCCGAAAACCCCTGCAGCCCTAGGCGCGAACGATATTTTACATCACGCTGTGACGAAAAGTGAACTTTTCGGCACGCTCCGCGTGCCTAAAAATCCAATTTCCGCCACATTGTGATGAAAAATATTGTTCGTAATTCATGAAAAAATGTTTTTTGCACTCGTTACGAAATATACTATTTCCGTAGTGATTTTCACTTTTACTAGTTTGGGAAAGGATCAACACCAATCCCTGGCCTGTAAAAAGTGAGAAGCAGTACGGAATAGTATTTTTCCGGCCTGTTGCGATGGGGTTTTTTACTCGTGTGGCGTTGGCCTCCGAGCCGTAGGCGAGAAATTCGATTTGCGATTTTTCATCACAATGTGGCGGAAATTGGACTTTTAGGCACGCGGAGCGTGCCGAAAAGTTCACTTTTCGTCACAGCGTGATGAAAAAGTATTTTTCTCTCTCATTCTAAATTGGAGAAGGTTGAAGCCCGTAACAACGCTAACCGCCTGATAATACGTTTCGATTGTAGCGTGGGAAGCTTTTCGGTCGGGTGGTTAATCAGAAATTTCCAGTGTCACATAGAAATGTACATGTGTAATAAACGTCGGGTCCATTCGTGGAGTACAGCATTGGCCACTCCGTTGCGTCATAGCCAAGCTCATTATCACTTGTGTAACATCGCATCCACGCGCATTCTGTGAAAACTGATGTGTGAATATGTTTTTTTACGGTCATCTGGGTGTAGTCTGCGCTGGTAATGAACCCGAGTTTTGATAGGGCATAACGGGGGGATCATTAACTAATCCTCAAGGTTCTGCCTCAAGTGAATGTGAATGAGCTGGGCAAAGGGAGAAATGAGATGGGCAAACATGGCTGTTTGCTTTGTGCAATACTCACGGGAGTTAGACGCTAATTAGTCACGCGCATTTTATCTCACTTTATTTTGGATGTTTAGGGGCCTTTTCTGTTTACCCGTGTCAGCTGATTAATCGCTGAGCTCACGCGCTTCGGATTTACTGATTCCTCTTATTCGGATCTAATAGACTGATAAGTCGATAATTCATCGGGTACTCGAAAAGCACGTGACATTTCACTTCACTCGATGGGGTATTCTATGTGTACCGGTTCATATCTGTCAGGTGGGATGGAAGAATGTAAGCCTTGGTACTATAAAAATACGCAAATAATTGATACTGGTTATCTTTTCGGTGAGAGAAACACGATAATAGGTGCGAGGGGAGTAAAGGGTTGGACGGTTCGGGAAATCGGAAGTTTACTTGACCCAAAATAGGTGTCATTTATTTATTGATGGATGAAAATTTGAAGAGTCAATTTTTGGGGACGTGACACTGATTTTTTGGAATTTATTCGGAAGTTTAGGGAATGTAACACTCTGGAATTCATTAATTTTGTCACTAATTTTCGGGAAGACATTTAAAGCATTTCAGGAAATTTTATTGGGTAGCATGCCAATTTTTTTCGTACTCAAATGAATTATTTACTGTAATTCCCGGAAATTTGACCACATAGTCCTAGATATTTTACCTTAATAGTAGTAAAGTTTACAGTTTCTATTGATTCTTCCCAAAAATTTTGAATTTTCAGTCAAAAAGGTGAGAAAAATACAATATTTTTCTGCAATGTTTATTTAAAATTATTGAATTTTATCCAGAATTTCATAATTTCTGAAAAATACAATTTGTAAAATTCAGGGATAATTTTTAACATTTTTTCATCTTCATGTGGGGTTTTACTATTTGTCTTTTCATATGCGACTGCTAATATTTCATTCTTGAAACCCCAAAACATATCAAAACCCCCTCAAATAATCTCGACAATCTACCCGAGACAATCAACCGGATCTAACAGGTGAGAAAACGCCAACTGCGTCAGGAAAATAGAATAAATATTGGACACTGTTGGTGTCAATTGAGCGGTGGAAATACGTGACTTATGTCTGACGGTTTGTTATGCGTAGTGTCAATCGACCTTAAAAAACATGAACGAGGCCTCAGTCGGAAAATGGTGTCGACTCCCTAAGCTCGATTCAATGATCTTTCTTATAGAATTTTTTTCTTCACAATTCCTGACATATTTCTTCATTCATCAATTACGTAAACTTCCCTCTGCTTCTTTAAAATGATTTTTCACGAGTGATTGATTTCTGGGAATTAATCGTAGTAGCAATGCGCTTTTTGCTTCCGAATGGCTTTGTAGTCGTTCAAATTCAAGTTTTGAATTTTTTGTGTTACTCCGTTTCAAATTTCAAATTTTCGATTTAAATGGAATGCGATTTACGGTATTGCTTCCGAATGGAATTCCTCGCGATCGTTACTCTGACCCTTGTGACCCTTATTTGGATTCTTAATGTAGTCCTCATAATAACCCTCGTGACCCTTATTTTGACCCTCGTGACCTTTATTTGTTGAGTCTTGGTTTTTAACCCCATGACCCTTCTTTGGACCCTTATTCTGACCCTTATTTGGCCCCTTAATCGTCAGATTAAGGGCCTTGTGACCCTTATACTTGTGATCCTTATGACCCTCAATCTGACACATATGTTTTTTAATCTGACCCTTGCGACCCTTATTAGAACCCTTAATCTGACCCTTGTGACACTTAATCTAACCCTTGTGACCTTTATTCTGACCCTAATGACCTTTATTTTGACCCTGGTGATCTTTACTTTGTTACCCTGGGGTTTTAACCCTCATGACCCTTATTTGGACCCTTAATTTGATCCTTGTGACCCTTATTTGGACTCCTAATAGGACCCTTGTGGCCCTTATACTTGTAATCCTTGTAACTCTTTATCTGACCCTTGTGATCCTTAATCTGACCCTCATGACCCTTGTGACCCTTAATTTCGGAGTCTCAATTTCGAGTACCAAATTTGTATCCCCAATAGTCGATTTGGATTTTTATAATATAGAGAGATAGATCGCTCACCGAAAACGTCACATGAATTTTTTTAAGGGATTTCTCACTCGTTCTTTCTTACGATTGGGTTTTTCAAGGCCACTTACCGAAGATTAGCGACAACATGAGCATATCCCTCAATGTGGACGAGTCCAACATTCTGCATTATGATACCAGTGAACAGCATACCAATGAGGGCCGGCAGTGTCGTTAGTGAGAAAATCCAGCCGGCAAAATGTGCTGCTATTGCTAAGCATGCTAAACTAAATAGTGGACCACCTGGTGCTGCATCCGCACCGACGAGTGAGTACGTTATGCCCCATGCCATTATACCGAGTAGAAAGAGACACAGTATTCGGGCAAATTTTCTGTATGTCGGGCAGAAGGGACGCGGACAGGCACGTCGCCAGCCTGGTGGCTCCCAGGATGGGGTGTCATCGGGTCCGTGACAGCGGGCGCAGAATAGATACAACCATGAACTAGAAGCACTCAAAATAATTCTGAATGAAACATCGGGAGGGGGAGATGAAGGGAGAATCGAATTGACGAAGTGGTTCACCAACCACCGTTTTTCGTAATTGGCAATTATCGGAGATGACTTTAGGAAGAAATGATTTATTTTTCGGAACATTATTGATTCTCAAAATAATTTGACATTTTTCAAGATCGAAAAAATCGTAATGCGTGAGGAGTCAAGTCAGATTTTTACTTATTTTCAATTTATCTGATGAGGAGTAATTTATTTTGGAAGGAAAGGTCAGATGCTATTTCTTGTAATTAATTTTTGTTACTTTTATAATTTTTTTGTAGTTTTTTTTGTTAAATTGAGTTGGGTTTTTGCAGTGATTTTTTGGATTTGTTGTTGGTAATGAAATTTTAAGTTTTCTCTTGCCGATGATTATCTACAACAAAAGTGTCTTCTGAATTTAACATTTTTCTCATTTGACTTTAACCAATTGATTTAAGAAAAAAACATAAGAAACTTTTTACAGATTATGATTTTTTTAACAAAAAATTGACGTCAATTTTTTTTAATTACTAGGTATCGAGATAATTCAACATTTATTCTGGTGGAAGAATTTTTAATGTTGGATTAGACATTTTGAGGTATGAATCATGACGTTTTCCGTATCTGATGAAGTTTTAACAATAGTATATTTTCACTGTATTATCTACAATCACTCGTGATCGAGGTAATTAAATGTTCAAAGAAATTCATAGAACTGATAATAGTTAATGACTACACAGATTGAAATTTTATCAATAGTCTGTTTATTTCAGAACTAATTGAACACAGGAGAGAATGTGCAACGCACCAACAAAAAATAATAGAAATTTTTATAATATTTGATTTTCACATTAACAACTTAGCAAGACGTAAAAAATCCTACTTCGGATAAAAATGTAAAAACACTGTAATTTTTACTCATTAAACTAATTAAATTTTCCCAAAAAATGAAAAATGCCACCACTTCCCAAATGACTAGAAACCCCTCCCTTCCGACTCCTTTCACACTGTTAGAAAATTACTCCTGAAATTTTAAGCAGAACGTCGTGAAATTTTTACCGATCACTCATTCACACAAAATTTTCATGTATTGTATTATTAAAAATCAGTTAAATTCCAGAGTATTCAATGGGATTGCAATTTTCAGGTCCACATAATAACCAAAATTATTGAATAATTTGAAAATTGAAGCAACAATTTCCCTGAATTTCCAGCCTGAATGAGAGATTCCATGAACGATTTGATCTTAAATTGAATTCAAATTCACAACCGAGGGGCTACTCACTCCATAAGTGACACCATGATTTCGAAATGAAGTAGACTTCGCGATTTGAGGGCTGATGTCAGTCATTTCGAGAAGAAATAAAATCGACGACTTCAAGTGAACCGCGATATTTCATGATTGCAATTGACTTCGAATGATTTCATACTAGAATCAAAATCACGACGAATATAGTTCGTCGTATTCTCTTCCAAAACATTCATTAATTTTAAACGACTTCGGCATGATTTCAAGAATTCCGCGTGTTTTCGGAAATGATTTCCGAGATTTTAGATCACGCGATTTCGAGGATTGAATGATTTCACGATTTCAGATTGACTTCATCGCAGAGTGGCTCCATAACTTCAGTAATGATTACCCCCTCGTTCACAACATTGAGAATTCAACTTCAACTATCGCACAATTTCCAGCAAATTTCTACCAGTGCCCCCTAAATCCTACCTTTTCAACTCCTCCGTGTACTCAATTTTATCCCGTATGGAGCTGGACAAGCTCATAGCCGATTTTTTCCTACTCTGTCCATTGATCCTGCCATTCTCAAGATCAAACTTGAACTGCGGTAAATTCTCGACACTTTCCCCATTGCTGTGATGCAGAATAGACTTCTTCCTGGCGGATTCCGAATCGTGCTGTGAGGTCGCACTAATCCTCCGATTGTGTTCAAACACCGGATTATCGATCCCGACAACCTGATCGCTGATGGACACCCTCCGGCTCCTGGTCTCCTCGTGCGGCCGCAAACCCCTGACACTGTACGACTGATCGGACTCCATCTTCCCTCAACAACTTCGCACAATAAATTCAAAAGTCTCCGCAAGTGGTGACCAGTCACCGAGGATCGCCTCACAACATGTGAGGAGAAAACTACGAGACATTAAAGACACTGTCAGTCCTGTCCCGAGAGCCCCTCTTCTTTTTTTCACCTCTTCTCAACAAACGATAATCACTCTGTCCAATGGATGTTACGACAGGCCCGCGCTACGTCTCCATTGGCCCATTTCCCGAATGCACAATTAATCCCTTTGATTTAAACGTTTTCACCTCTCCCACGTCCCAGCAAAGCCCAAACACCAGTTGTTCGCGCGTCTCCGGTGGAGTCCGACGTCTCAATAACTGCGTTCACGATGTGTCGGGGTAATAAGTATCGCGACGATTATCATTGAACACCGTTCGACTCGCTCGCCACTAAACTTTCGTCACTGGAGGGGGAGAACAAGCCTCTGTTGATGTTTACACGCGGTATTGTCACGCGCTTTTGTGATTACTCGGAGTAAAAATTTTCCGGTGAATGGAAAATTAAATGAGAGCAAATGCCCAACGGAAATGGGCAACACCGGACGGCCGTCGACGATTGTCAGTGGGCGCTCCTGTTGGACGGCGCACTGTCGCGATTTTTAGGTTTATTATTCGCGACACGGAAAATTGAATGTTGCACCCAGATCTGGCGCGACCTACTGCTGCCAATGGCCCTGGCTGAATTCGCCGAGCTTCTCCGTCAATTAACGCTCGTTATTATTATATGTATGGGGGTTTGTGAATCGCGGACTCCAGTGAGTGAGCGGGATTAGTCGCGGGATTAGTTGAATTCGGGCTGAATTTCTTGACTGCTGCAGCGCTGGAGGGGGGGCGATGGTACGTGGGTAAATTGTGCGGGGAGGGGGCAGGGATTTGAGGGGCACGCGTGCGGAATTTTTCAAGTTTTGGGAGGCCGGGAGGGGCTGACGGGAGGTTAACGCCGACGGGTTTTGTGGAATTGCGGAAAATTGAGGTTGCGTGGACGCGCGGCTTTCTTCCGAGACGTTGATTTATTTTGAATTATTAAGCTTGTTAACTTGGTACATTGTCGGGACAGAAATTGAAGGGACTAGCTGCCGGACGTGCTGGAGAATTTTATTGCATTTTTTGTAAGTTTTTTTGGGGATATGAATTTTTTTTTGTTTTTGGGGGTTTTTGCAATGCAGTGGGACATTTCACTCGGAAAAGTAGGGATTAGTGATAATTAATGAGTGGATTTCGATTGGATCTGGTCGTTTTTTGCGAATTTTTAAAGGGGAATTAAAATCAGAAGTTTTTACGAATTTTTGAAGAGAAATTGAAATTAGATGTTTTTTTAGTCAAGTATTTATTTCAATTGTTGTGCTTGTTTTTTTTATAACGCAAGATTTTTTATACAAAATTCTTTGGCAAGAACTTTGAGATCGATACAACGGGACATTCCACTCGGAAAAAGTAGGGATTAGTGATAATTATGAAGTGGATTTCGATTAAATCTGGTCGTTTTTTACGAATTAATAAAGGCGAATTGAAAGCAGATTTTTTTTACTCAATTTTTTATTTGAATTATTCAGCTTGTTATTTTATAATGTAAGTTTTTTCATACAAAATTCTTTGGCAAGAACTTTGAGATCGATACAACGGGACATTCCACTCGGAAAAAGTAGGGATTAGTGATAATTATGAAGTGGATTTCGATTAGATCTGATCATTTTTTTTTTACGAATTTATAACGGGGAATTGAAATCAGATGTTTTTTTATTCTATTATTTACTTGAATTGTTGAGCTTGTTATTTTATAACGTAAGTTTTTTCATACGGAATTCTTTGTCAAGAACTTTGAGATTTTTTTCCAAGTATTTTCTCCCGTCTAACAAAAAAAAACGGAGAAAACAAAATTGAGAAAATTTGAGGCGAGAGATTCCTTATGTTTTTTTATAATAATCAAAGTCCGTGGTTTGTTCTATTACATAGCAGATATTTCCGCAGTGATTTTAATCTCCATTTCGATTACAAGATCACTACAACGAGACATTCCACTCGGAAAAAATTGGGACTACTGATAATCGAGAGATGGATTTCGATTAAATCCGTTCATTTTGATGTTTTTCACGAATTTACACACGGAAATAAAAAATTGTCAGATGCTTTTTTACTTAATTATTTATTTTCATTGTTGATTCATTTTTTGCTTGTTGTTTTATAGCGGAAGTTTAATGTTTTCAACAGGAGATAATTTGTTTTTATACGAAATTCCTTTGCAGGAACTTTCAGAGTTTTTTCCATTATTGTTTCTGCGCAAACAAAACTAGGAAAATTTATGCCGAGGGATTCCTGCACGTTTTTTATAAAAATAAAAATCTATCGATTTGTGCTGTTATATACGAGGTATTTCCGCAGTAATTTTAATCTCCATTTCGATTACAAGATCACTACAACGAGACATTCCACTTGGAAAAAGTAGGAACTACTGATAACTAAGAAGTGGATTTCGATTAAATCTGTTCATTCTTACGTTTTTCAGGAATGTGTAGAGAAAAATTAAAACTTATCGGATATTTTTCTACTCAATAATCCAAGTTTTATCATTTTTTTTATTGTTGAGCTATTTTTTTTTATAACGTAAGATTAGTATTTTTCAACAGACGATAATGTTTTTTATACGAAATTCTTTGACAGCAACTTTTAGAATTTTTTTCACTGTTTTTTTCGGAGAAAACAAAACTAGGAAAATTTATGCCGAGGGATTCCTACACGTGTTTTGATAAAAATAAAAATCTATCGATTTGTTCTATTATACACGAGGTATTTCCGCAGTGATTTTAATCTCCACTTCGATCACGAGATCAATACAACGGGGCATTCCCCTCGGAAAAAATTGGGACTACTGATAGTTTAGAATTGACTTCGATTAAATCGGTTCATCTTTACATTTTTCACGAATTTATAGAGAAAAATTGAAACTTGGCAAATATTTTTCTACTCAATTATTCAATTGGTATTCGTTCCAATTGTTGAACTTGTTATTTTATAACGTCAGTTTACTGTTTGTCAACAGAGATAATTTTTGAGCAAACAAAACTAGGAAAACAAGACAATTTCTGACCAAACAAAACTATGAAAATTTATGCCGAGGTATTCCTCTCCGTTTTTACACAAAAACAAAAATCTATCGATTCGTTCAATTATACACGAGGTTCTTCCGCATATTATTTAAAACTTATCAAATATCTATGTACTCAATCATTCAATTATTAATTATCTGAATTGTTGAGTTGTTATTTTATAACGTAAATTTCCTGTTCTTTAACAGAAGATAATTTTTTACCCAAAATTCTTTGCAGGAACTTTCTGAATTTTTCCACTGCATTTCCCGACCAAACAAAACTAGGAACATTTCTGCCGAGGTATTCCTCCCCGTTGTTATACAAAAATAAAAATCCATCGATTTGTTCAATTNGAGCATTTTTCAAACGAAACCAAAAATTCTTTTCCCCCACACTTGGCGACACTTTCGCCTCGCCATCGCTTGATCACCGCCGGACAATATATTCTCAAGGTGAAAGCGCGTTACTATGAAAATTCTGAATCGCCTCATTATCACGTATGCAGCGAACGTACCCTCGCAACAAGCAGTAATTCCTGCCTATAGAAAGTTCCGCGCTCAATGAAAAACTCCGTTGAAATTTCGTTCCCCTCGCCGTGCCCAGTATCTTATCTCATAATTCAAAACAATGTAGTTGGATTAAATATTATTCAACGCCACCGTCGCGCGGGGCACGCCGCGTCAATTTAATGTATCACTCTATCCCGCATTCAAACTCGAAACGCCTCTCCGGTATTTTCAATTCAATCTTCTTCAGACACTTTTGTGGAGGAATATCGCAATATCGCCGGCTTCAAGACTCGCTTGTGTCACATATCGGATATGTGCCTATTTCTCAACAATTCACCTCCTCCTTACTCCATTTTTCCCCTCGCAACGGCAATGTCTACTATTTTCAATAAATTCAGCATCTATCATGTTGCAGAGAATGCATCAAGGTGGGTCATGCTATTGAAATCTCGGGAATGTGTCAATAAAACTCGTGAAGGATTTCCTAGATACGTAATAGAATCATTCGCGCCAATCATTATCATTAGATTTACACGGAGAGAAACATTCAATAAAAATTACCAGAGAAAAACGGTAAAATTACGCTTCGAACCTTAATCCGCGAGCGAAGTAAAATTCAGTAAAAAGTGTGAGTCGGAACTGAACTTGTACGAATCGCCACGTAAATTCTACGATTTGTTCCGTAAAAATTAAACAGCCGTCTGATGACTCACTGCTGTGGGGACAAGTCGTTCCGTAATTTTCTCCAACGATTGAGAAATTTTAAGGAACGAAACGTAGAAATAACCCACCAGCTTCATAAAAATTGTTGAACGTTCAAGAATTTTTGATTTTTGAGGCATAATAAGTCGGCAGGTTTCTGTAAGATTTTACTTCTTCGGGAAAAATTACGTGACAATTTCGCACTTTGTTCGGTGATGAACCTGAAAATTCACTGAACGTTTAGATTTCTTCTCTTCTATTCCTATAAAATTGCCGGAAGACGATTCCCCATTGCGGATTACGTGAATTGTTCCGTAATTTTTACTGAATATTTCTCTCCGTGTATGATAAGACGTAGTTATCACTGATTGATACGATTGTTGGCGTGATGCACTGGACAAACCAGTCTCGTCTCCTCGTCTCGTATTTTCCCGTGAATTATCAACGAAGTTGCGGGGGATAACGAGCTGGAAAAATCGCCGGGATAAATATTAATAAAATAGTGCAAATGAACCGGACACCTCTTCCCCCCC